AGTGCATGTACGCGAGGGACTTAGAAATATAGACCCACGGTGAGGAAGAAATTCATCAAATGTTAGACTATTATAGGTCATAGACTTACTTTTGGTATAGATTCTATCGATCGTGTACTATCCGAGTTTTGGGTATCGGATCTAATTTTTAATGTAGTGGAAATTTCCCAAGAACGTTTTCATTTCTAATACTAGCAAAGACGTGTCCTAGGTGTCTGTGTTTGTTAAAAAAAATAAAAAAACAAATCCACTTGAAGTACTTATTTATGAGAAAAACTTCAGTGGGACGGGCTCACCACGTCACCTATCCCACTTGGTGCACCCTGCCAATAGAAACCAGCCACGTTCACAATTATTTTAATTATTATTTCCTGGATTTTCCTTTTTTATCTTTCCCCTTCGTCTTCTTCGTTGATGCTTCAGCAAAGGTTCTTTTCTATCTCCAGTCTTCTAGTTCTAAATTAACTTCTGGGTTGGAGCAAACAATCGGAGGCGTAAGCTTGACAGAAGAAAAAGCAATCGATCAAACGCGCCGCCTTCTCATTAAATCGCACACCACAGAACCACGGCAAATCATCGTCGTCAGCCTCTCCGCCTGTGTTGGCGACGACGAAACCTCCCCAGTTCTGTTCGATTCGTCGTCATACTAACTTGATTCTGGCACAATTCCACCCAAATCCAGGAAGAATCCCGAATCCCTCGAGCAGGTTCTCGCTCGGAAGAAAGTAATCCTCTGAATCGCTGAAATTGTGCTTTCCAATACTCATCGAAGTTGAATGCCGACCTGCGGCGGTGGACAATCATAGAAGAGCACAACAAATTGAGTGTCTGGCGCATGATCTAAAAAATCCCAGAAGGATAAGGTTCCGTGATGGCTCATCGATTCGGAGAATCTGAAGATGCCGATCATCGGGGTTATGCCAACGCTGCAAATGGAATGGAACTTCTCTAGGCCGCAGTAGGGTAAGCGGTTGAGCCCTGATAAAGGGTAACTAATTCGAATCTGGCCGCGTTCGTTTATCCGGCTGCAGTTTGCATAATCCTACGATGTAACGCTGATTAAGACTGGGAAGAAGACGAAGGGAAAAGAGGGGATAGAAAAGAACCAGAGCTGGACATCAACGAAGAAGAGAAAGGAAAAAGAAGAAAACGGAAAACTAGGAGAGCAATAAATAGACTAAATGTAAACGTGGCCGGTTTCTATTGGGAGGGTGCACCAAGTGGGATAAGTGACGTGGTGAGCCCGTCCCACAGAAGTTTTTCTCCTTATTTATTAACTAATTTAGTCGGTTTTTTCATAAACCGACGTTAACAACTAAACTTCTATGTCGAGTTCTAAATTCAGCACTAGCAGTAGCAGCGGTTCCAAAAAATGCAAAAGAGCTTCCTCTCTGAACACCGAGGGAGGGGAGGAGTTACGGTGCTAATTGTACAAGAGTTAGCACCGTCCCAAGGAGCAATGAAGGGCTTTATTGGTATTTAGTAAAATTAAATTTAATAAATAAATTAAATTTAATTATCTCTCTCCTCGCAAAGTACTTTAACGTGAAAAAATACTAGGGAAAAAACTACTACTAGTTTGAATTAGTAGTGATTTAGCTTAGATGTTGTATTGATTTTATAATAATCCTTAGTGATTTCGTTGTTTTTAGTAGCGTTTTTTAAATAGAAGAAGTTGATGATATTTGGAAAGAATTATACTGTAAATGAAAAAAGTAATACAAAGAACAAATATTACTACTAATATACAAAACACTACTAATACTTTACAAATATCACTGCTCAACTGTTGATTACAATAAAAATAACTACTAATACATGTGAAAAACAATACACCACAATCACTACTAACCAAAAATCACTACTAATCAAATAATAATATAGATCTGGAAAAAAGTTCTCGTTCTTCCTCCACGCATGCTATCCACGAGCAATCGGCAATGGTGGTGGGGAGCCAACGGAGGCAAGGCCGGCGCCGTTGCGGTTGGAAATCGACTTCGTTGCGGCGGCGATTGATGGATCATGGGCTCTCTGCGGGATCGACACACATCTCCAGCGCATCGTCTTCTTTTACGCTGGCGGCGAGGGACGCTGGTGGCGAGCGACGTTGGATCACCATCTCGCTGCAAAACCAACCTTTATCTACAGAGCAAGCGGAAGAGAGAGACGGCGGTTGAAAGAGGAATAGGAAGACGAAAAGTGTAGAGGCGGAAATTTTTGAATATATATTAGGGTTTGGGCATGTTTAGTGACCAAAATAACCTTCTTTTAATTTTAACCGTAGGATTATATTTTAATCTAATGGTTGAAACACTAGTTATCAAAGTGCCAATCCCTATAAGGATTAGTACCTAATCTCATCCCCCGAGGGAGTCAAACCATACCGCACACACACAGTCACACCCTTTATCTGAAGCTGCGAAGGCACAAGCGGACTTGGAAAGCTGGAAGACCACTGGCAGTCTGGCTCTGTTGTATTGATTCCGTGAGCCATTTCTTCCCATTCTCATAGGGACAAGTATGGGTATCTGGTTCCATGTAACTATTTACCTGTGCATTGGTCAAATAGGAATATAAAAACAAGCGATTATGTATTCTATTCTTTTTATTTATATATAGATGGCTATTTCGGTGCACTCACTTTTTTAATGCATTCAATGCACCAACTTTAAAAGTGGTCATAATACATCAAATTTCGAATATAATGTATAGCATTATTCTAATATGATTATATAACACATAATCAAAACTAATCAATCCATTATCCTTTCTATTAATCTTCAATTTTGAATCTCAACCTAAAATCCCAAATTGTATACCATAACCCTAACCCTAAATTCCTAAACCCTAAATCATTCAAATTAAAGTGAATCTTGAAGAAACTGAAAAGTGCCAGAGTCTAATGGTCAAACTATGGTTTGTAAACTGAAAAAAGTCTCTTTATCGACTTAAACAAGCATCCAGGCAGTGGTTTGCAAAGCTAACAAGTAGCCTGATGAAACTTGGCTTTGCTCAATCCGCTTCAGACTACTCACTCTTTACAAAATGGGTCCATGGCAAAGGTTGTGGTACTTCTGGTGTATGTAGATGACATCATCATTGGTGGTGATGCTCAGAAAGACATAAATCAAGTCAAAACAGCTCTGAGCAAAGAATTCAAGTTGAAGATGCTTGGACCATTGAAGTACTTTTTGGGGCTAGAAATTACCAGAAATGATGCAGGCATAAGTGTATGTCAGAGGAAATATTGTACTGATTTGTTGAAGGACACAAGTTAGCTTGAAGCCAAAGGATGCAAGTCACCTATGGACTGTAAGGTAAAATTGACTGCAAAAGGAACTTTTTTAGAAGATTTAGAAGGATACAGGAGGTTAATTGGGAGATTGCATTATCTGACAATCACAAGGCCAGATGTGGCATTCCCAGTACAGCAGCTATGCCAGTATCAGAAGAACCCTTGTCAGGAACATATGCAGGCAGCATACAGGGTTCTGAGGTATTTGAAAACCTCACCAGGGCAGGGAATACACTTTAGCAGCATAGCAGAATTGAAGTTGATTGGCTATAGTGATTCTGATTGGGCAAGCTGCCCTGACACTAGAAGATCTGTGACAGGATATTGTACATTTCTTGGATCATCACTTCTCACTTGGAAGACAAAGAAGCAGACAGTAGTGTCCAGATCCTCTTTAGAAGCAGAGTACAAAGCTCTAGCACACTTGGTCTGTGAAGTATAGTGGCTGAGAAGATTGCTTGCTGAGTTAACTGTACAGGTACCCCTTCCTATACCAATTTATTGTGACAACAGATCAGCAATACATATTGCAGAAAATCCTGTTTTCCATGAAAGGACTAAGCATATAGAGATAGATATGCATATTACAAGAGGAAGAATTAAGAGTGGACTGATCAAGCTTCAGCATGTTGGAACTGCAAATCAATTGGGAGATTTGTTCACTAAGGGTTTAGACAGGTTTAGAATTTCTGAGTTACTGGTCAAGTTGGGGATTAAGAATGGAATTGAATCGCCAACTTAAGGGGGGATGTCAAGGTACTGAGACAGAAGAGCAGCAGTGATTTGCAGAAGAAGGAAGAATCCTGAAGGCTTGCGGATTGCAGCAGGAAGAAGAAGAGTAGAAGAAAACGTCGTCGTGTCTCTACTACAACTTTTAATTATGTTGAAAACGTTACCGTTTAGTTTATCGTTGTTACCCGTTAGAGAAGCACTATTAGCTTCTTAATAGACCAATAGTGTTTGGACACTTGTAAAGCTACTACTAATTTGATTTCCTAGCTATAAAAGGAATAGAGGACTCAGCCAGTTAGACTAAGCTTCCTCTTCCCAATTCTCTTGCAAATTCACACATACGGTGGAGCATAATCAATTAAGTATGGAACCCATAAATCTGAACGGGGAAGGAGGAGCAATATCAAACTTTGAATAACTTTATTGTACCGTCAAGAGGGACCACCTTCGCGGAGCTGGGCCTCGAAGACCTAGTGTATTTGATTAGGAAAAGTGGATGTCGGTAAAAAATCTCATTAAAAGCTCAATGTGTTCCCCAAAGAAAGGGAATGCACATCTGGGTCTCTTTACAAGGCAGAAACAATCTTCTGCAACAACCAGTATACTATCTACCTGAAAAAACTGTTCTAACACTATTATTTACAAGAATACTTCCCTACAATCAGTATCTAATTTGTCATTCCCTAGACGTGCAAGCTCAATCAATCTTCGAGTCCTTCGAACAATCTCCTCTTTCTGAGTTGTTCTACCTCCATAAATCCGTCCACACCTTTCCCGCCAAATCAAACTTATTGTTCGGAAATCATAAATACGGTGGAAACTGTTGAGTCTTATTGCTGATACCACATAGGGTTTATATAGAGTACAGAGACTGACTTCTATAATAACATAACAGTAATACGGAAATAAGCTAACTTCTATGACTCTAATGAGGAATAGAACTCTACCTAATTACATACTAGTACTCATAGTATAACACAATACTACATACTCTAATACCCTCCCCAAATTGATGGTAATTACTTACCAACAATTTGAAACCAAAACAAAAAATGACACAAATTACTAAGGACAATGTGACAAAAAAAACAACGAAAAACGTAACTGCTCCACCTGTAAAATCGACGATAAACAAAAGACAAGACGATTTTAACGTGGTTCTTCCTCACAGTGTGTGAGGCTTACATCCACGGAAGAGACTATGATTTTATTAGTTTTGCTTAGTTCGGCCATTGGCCAAACTTACATATTTATAACCCATATCATCTGCCTCTACTAGGGTTACATTGGCTGCTGTCCAATTACAATTAGGATAGATGATTTCCGTAGCTTCTTTGGACTCCAAGTCATGCGTTGTGGGCTTCCATGCAACCAGGCATGCATGGGCTACAGGAGGTGCCGACGTGGGCTTCTCATGGGAAGAGTCTCGATCCAATACTCCCCCGCAAACTGAGACGTAGAGATCGCGCACGTTCAGTTTGGACAAAAGAAAGTGGAAACGATCGGCACCGAGCCCTTTGGTGAAGATATCAGCTAGCTGGAAATCGGTATGCACCTTGACTGGAAGAATGTGACCTGATTGAACACGCTCACGAACAAAGTAACAATCCATTTCTACATGCTTAGTCCGTTCATGGAAGACTGGATTGTTAGCGATGTGAAGTGCAGCTTGATTATCACAAAACAGTCGAGTTGGTGCGGACTGAGGAACACCAAGCTCTTGAAGCAACCAACGAAGCCAAAGGAACTCACTTACAGTACTTGCCATGGCGCGGTACTCAGCTTCTGCAGAAGAACGAGCCACAACATTCTGTTTCTTAGTACGCCAAGAAACAGGAGCGCCACCCAGACTGATAAAATACCCAGTAGTAGAACGCCGAGTTCTCTGACAACCCCCCAGTCTGCATCACAATAAGCAGTAAGTTCAAGGGAATTGTTTCTCGGGAAGAACAAGCCTTGGCCAGGCGATGACTTTAAGTAGCGAAGAACGCGGAAAGCAGCATCCAGATGCTTCTGACTAGGAGCATGACTGCATAGGTGATGTCGGGACGAGTGACAGTTAAATACAGTAAGCGGCCTACAAGCCGACGATAAGAAGACGGATCAGCCAACGCATCATCACACGGTCCTGTCAACTGATGATTCTGCTCGATCGGAAAACTGCTGGGGCGAGCCCCTTCTAGACCAGCATCTTCAAGAATGTCCAAGGTATACTTGCGTTGGCTCAAAGACACACCATCAGCTGTACGAGCAATCTCAATGCCCAGAAAATAGCGCAAAATACCAAGGTCCTTGATGCTGAACCGCTCATCAAGGAATGACTTAACCTTATTTATGAATGGCAGGTCATTCCCAGCAAGAAGAACATCATCAACATATATCAAGGCAGTGACAAAGGTACTCCCCCGCTTGTAGATAAACAGAGCCGCATCAGCAGGAGAAGAATGAAAACCGAACTCACAGAGAGCAGTGGTAAATTTCTGATACCACTGACGAGAGGCTTGTCGAAGCCCATACAGCGACTTGTGGAGGCGACAAACCCGTGTATCACCAGGTTGTCGAAAACCAGGGGGAATCTCCATATAGATCTCTTCTTCCAGATCACCATGGAGGAACGCATTATTGACGTCAAGTTGGTGAAGATGCCATCCTTTGCTGACTGCAACAGCGATGAGACAACGAATGGTGACCAGCTTGGCCACGGGAGCGAAAGTATCATGAAAGTCAAGCCCCTCAATCTGAGTATAACCCTTCGCCACTAACCGCGCTTTATAACGCTCGATAGTCCCATCTGGGTAGAACTTAATCTTATACACCCATTTGGGAGAAATGGTGCGTTTTCCTGGCGGCAAGAATACGAGGCTCCAAGTTCCATTAGCTTCAAGGGCCTTGATTTCGCGAGTCATCGCGTCCCGCCAAACTTGCTCTCGGACTGCTTGGTAAAAGTACCGAGGCTCATCATACCTAGTTTGTGTTGCAAGAAAAGCACGAAAACCAGGGTAAACTTAGAGTAATTCACATAATTAGCCAAAGGATATAAGACTAAATTGGTACTTCCCTGTATGGAGGGGAGATCCGTGTCATATTGCTCCAAGTACTTGGGACGACTGCGATGCCGATCCCCGCGCCGCAAAGCTGGAGCGGGAGTAGCTGGAGCTGTGCTGGAGTGACGTGGCCCAGGGCCTGAAGGAGACGGCCCAGAAGTGGCCTGCTGGGGACCTGTCTTGGATGGCCCGGAGTCAAAAGAAGACGGCCCAGCAGAATGCTGGGGACTGGTCTCAGTCGGCCCAGGTGACGAGGGCCCACGCCGGACGCGCGAAGGGGAGGACTCTGGCCCAGGTGACGACGGCCCAGCAGAATGCTGGGGACTAGTCTGAGAGGGAGCGGCCGGGCCGGATGAGGACGGCCCATTAGGCGAGGACGGCCCAGCTGGAGAAATGGTAGCCGGTCCATCAGGAACAGGCCCAGACTGATCTGCTGGGGACGAGGCAATCGGAGATTCCGTCGGGGAGTCATCATTCAAGGGAGCCTCTGGTCTAGGAATCCAATGAATCTCCTTTTGGGTTCCATCTTGACAAGGAAAAATGGTCTCGTGAAATTGCACATCGCGAGAAGTGATGAGACGACGGGTGACCAAATCGTAAATCCGATACCCCTTTTGACTTGCCGCATAACCCAAAAATAATCATGTGCGTCCTCTTTCAGCGAACTTGTCAATGTGTGAATGAGTATCTTTAAAGTACACCAAGCATCCAAATACCCGAAGATGATGATAGGTAGCTGATTTGCCGAACAGAATCTCGAACGGCGTCTTCCCAGTGGCTTTGGTAGGAAGCCTATTTATGAGATAAACGGCAGTGAGAATACATTCACCCCAAAATTGAATGGGGAGACTAGCCTGAAAGCGCAAAGCTCGAGCCGTGTCAAGGATGTGGCGATGCTTCCTCTCGACGATACCATTTTGCTGCGGTGTATCAGTACATGACGTCTGAAGCAAAATACCTTGATCCTCGTAGTATGATTTAAGACCCGTAGTTTGAAACTCATAACCATTGTCTGTCTGGATCCGTTTGACTGAGCATCCAAACTGATTTCTCACCATCTTGCAGAAATGCAGTAGGTATCGCTCGACCTCAGATTTATATCTCATAAGATACACCCAAACACCTCGTGAAAAATCATCAACAATGGTTAGAAAATAATGAGCCCCACTTAATGAAGCTACCTTATAACCACCCCAAATATCAACATGGATAAGGTCAAAACGTGACGAAGTCTTAATCATACTTGACTGAAAAGGTTCTCGAGTCTGTTTAGCTCGCAAACATGAATGACAAGGACCAGAATATGAATTCAAAGGAACAGACAATAAACGACTAATATGTATGATTTTCTCCGGCGAAGGGTGCCCTAGACGGGCATGCCAAACTGCGTCAGACACTACTCCTTTGCGTTGCACGGCACAAGCTTGAGAATGACCCTGTCCAAACAAGCGCAAATAATATAGCCCATCACGAAGTTCACCCTTCCCAATCAATTTCTTCGAGCGTAAGTCCTGGATTACGCAAAAATTATCAAGAAAAATCAATGCCACATGATTATCCTTTGTCAGTCGGCTCACAGAAATAAGATTACACCGGAATTCGGGTACATGAAGTACTCGACCAAGAGTGAAACCAGGAAGCAGCTCGACGGAGCCAATGTGCTTTACCGGAATGCTGTCTCCATTGGGTATGCGAACAGGCTGCCCATTAACAGGAACTTCTTTTCGAGACAACATTGATTCATCCATAGTAATATGTTCATTGCAACCAGAATCTAATAACCATTCAGATTCGTATGAGAGTATACCTGCCATGTGAGCTGCCGGATCATCAACTGTCTTGCCTGATGCGCCAAAGAACTGTTTTAGTTGTTCCAGCTGAGTCATGGTAAAACCAGCAACAGGGCTCTGCTCGGATTCCACCTGTGACGCGCGCGGTTCGTGATTGTCGCCAGATTTGGGATTGCGACGTCGCTGCTGGCGATTTCCCTGCTTGTCACTATGTTTGTCCCGCGGGGGGTAGCCAATCAGCTCATAACACGTTTCGCGAACGTGTCCCAAACGCTGGCAATGTGTGCACCGAGGACGATCACGATCACGTTGCTCCCCCGGTCCGCTATTGGCCTTGTCAGGTGTACCGGCCGCCACGAACACAGCAGCTTCTGGCGCTACTTGGCGTTGCTGTGAAATTTGTTTTTGTTGTTCCTCATTGAGGACCATGTGAAAAGCCTCAGCAAGTGTAGGAGTTGGCCGCATGGCCAATATTTGAGTCCGAATGGCTCCAAAAGAATCATCAAGGCCCATTAAGAATTCGAAGAGCCTTGCCCGTTCCTAATCTTCACGGATCCTCTTGGAGATTCCACAGACGCATCCGGCGCATGTGCAAATAGGCAACGGGGTGATGGAGGAATTCTCCTCCCATAGCGCGCACAGTCGAGTGAAAAAGGAAGAGACCGGACTTTTGTTTTGCTGTGATAAAACAATCAAGCGCCGCAATTCATAAGCTCGTGAAGAGCTTCCAGTACCAAATCGTTCTCGAAGATCCGACCAGATGCCAGCAGCATGTTCAGCAAAGCGAATGCTGCTACGAATCTCCTTATCCATGGAGGTCTTTAGCCATCCTTTGACCATGGCGTCACAACGAAGCCAAACACCTCGTTCCTCCGCCGACTCCGGTTTCGGAAGAGAACCATCGACGAACCCATATTTATTTTTGGCGATGAGGGCATCCTTCATATCGAGGACCCATTCGCCATAGTTGGTGGCTGTGAGAACATCACCAACAAGCATATTTCCCGGACCATCGGAATTGGACAGCTGATACGCAGGCGGAAGGTGATCTTCGGCCTTGACACCGCCAGACATGGTTCCTTTGAAATCATCAGAACCGGAACCCATGATTGACGGCGGACTAGGGACTGGAGCCTAAGGCTCTTATACCATGTAAAATCGAAGATAAACAAAAGACAAGACGATTTTAACGTGGTTCTTCCTCACAGTGCGTGAGGCTTACATCCACGGAAGAGACTATGATTTTATTAGTTTTGCTTAGTTCGGCCATTGGCCAAACTTACATATTTATAACCCATATCATCTGCCTCTACTAGGGTTACATTGGCTGCTGTCCAATTACAATTAGGATAGATGATTTCCATAGCTTCCTTGGACTCCAAGTCATGCGTTGTGGGCTTCCATGCAACCAGGCATGCATGGGCTACAGGAGGTGCCGACGTGGGCTTCTCATGGGAAGAGTCTCGATCCAATACCACCAAATATGTCGATGTCGATGAAGACCATGTCCAATGCCTCGTAAAACGTCGATGGTGATAAGCTGGAGATAACAAAAGGTCTTGTCAAAGTCGTCTAGTTCATCGAACTAGCCGAACGACGTACTCCGAACAACATCATGGTGATCAAGATGCACCGAATAGCATTGTCGAAACAGCAACAGAACCACGTGCTCCGAACAACAACATGGCGATCAGGATGCTCCGAATAGCATCATCGAAACAGAAACGAAACCAAAAATGCTCCGAACAGCATTTATCAAATTGAGATATTCTGAACAATATCTCAAACTAAACAACACCTCCAAAACCAAATCCAAATGGACGAAACCTATGGTTGTATACCAAATCGAGACAGACTTAAAACGACTCCAGCTGAAAACCTTTTCAATCTCCATCATTACCAACCCAAGCAAATTACTTCATATCCACCGACCGAGGCAATCCAATCCGAACTGCAACCTGAATACTCGTGAAACCATCCAAAAACCATATCCTGCCTCCCGATTCCAATTTCGAACAACAACAATACCGGAGTCTATGATCAGCCAAGTTGCGGAAAGATCTGAAGCGGAGGTTGACTCACAGATGTGCGGACAAATCTTCCGAATCCCGGAGTTTATGTGGATGAGAGCTTCACATGGAGGTTCTTGCGCCGTACACAGACATCAATGGAGATGGAATTTTGGGGCCGCGGATGAGCGACCTGATAAACACCTTTTCTAAAAGCCTAACAATAAAAGTGACGGGGGCATAATAACAAAAAATGGGAATGAAACAAAAACGAGAAGAACAATCTTATTTGGAGGAAGAAATCAGCGCTGGAAGCAAGAACCAGGCGACTGCGGGCTCAAGGTGGGAAACCGAGGAATAAAAGAAATTTAGGGTTTTCTCGATTAAGTTTTGGAACCAGGCTCTTATACCATGGTGGAAAATCAGAAATACGGTGGAAACTGTTTAGTCTTATTGCTGATACCACATAGGGTTTATATAGAGTAAAGAGAATGACTTCTATAATAACCTAACACTAATACGGAAATAAGCTAACTTCTACGACTCTAATAAGGAATAGAACTCTACCCAATTACATATTAGTACTCGTAGTGTAACACAATACTACTCATACTACATGGTATGAGAGTCTTCTGTCACCTTGAGGTCTTCTATTCGATTCCCAGTGACCCCATCTGTTTCTGTTAAGCACACAGTGTTCGAACCTATGCCTGTCCAAACTCCAAGCCTATCTGAATGACTTAAGTTTGAAGGGGGCTTTTAGTAAACGGTATATAATCCACGATTGAACCTCTCCCAACAACTCGAGTTATTGGGACCAATTGGTTTATGACATGGTATCAGAGCTGGTTTGTCCGTGAGGTCATGTGTTCAAATCCTCACGACCCCCAATATTAACTGTTGTCTTTCAAGCACATGGTATGGCAGGCTTGTGCAAACTTCAAGCTCATGAGCCGGCTTTCGTTTGAGGGGGCGTGTAAGGAATTGGTTAAGTACCATACACGGACCTGTATAAGATCCAGTATAACCTTATCCCAACAACTCGAGTTATTGAGATCAACTGGTTCTTGACACTTATCACCAAGTTCCAGACAAGGCGCCCAACCATTGCAAGCTGCTTCTTCCCTTTAAATTGACGAACTACCCAGCTCAAGTAATCATCAAAGCTTGTTAGCCTAGGACATTTCAGTCCTATCATCTGCATACAACCTGCAAAAACCCTGAAAGTATAGGCACACTGGAAAAACAAGTGCTCTCTGTTTTCCATTCCAGCAGAACAGAGCACACATTCATCATTCTGAACTTTCCCCCAACTCTTCAGCAAGTCCAACGTAGTAATCCTATTATGAACTATCATCCAGCTCAAGAAACTATGACGAGGAATGGAATGACGACTCCAAAGAAGCTGGAACCAAGGGACAACAGGTCTACGTGGCTGCAATTCTTTCCAATATAACTTTGTTTGCTAAATAAACACAATTAAATCCATATATTTATTCTTGTACATAATATAAATACAGAAATAAGCAACCTAAAACCTCATAGAAATCACTTAATTAATAGTTAAGAGTAGAAAATCAGATAAGATCGTTAGGATCAACATTACCATCACTTACACATCATCATCATCATCCTCACCTTCACCCTCACTCTCATCCTTGTCTATTTGCTTGAGGACTAATATCATTATTCTTAGGATCACTTGAAGTAATTTCACGATTAACCATATTTCCTTTATCACGAACATCTGGCAAAGATAACTCATTGATTGATGCATTTCCATCTTGACTGATAAAAGGTCGGGGGTTAGTGGTGCTGGTGGATTGGGAGATGAACGAAAGCTTGCAATGGAATGGAGATTTGGATTTTTGTGAGGGTGGTGGGAACAAACTACAAGCTAATTGGGAGGGTGGAAGATATCGTCGATGGAATGAGTTGGGCATCGACTTGTGAAAGAAGAATATACGAGGAAGAGAATGAATATAAATTGGGGGTTGTCTATCGGGTAAGGGTTGTGTTGTTCATTACGTTGGGTAAAGGGAAGTAAGCTTGACTTGATTCTTGGGAAGAACCCTACTTGACCGGCCTAATTTAGCTCCAATTGATATGAACCTTGAAATCGCACAAAATCGTAGCAATCGTAGATTTTAAGAATTTTAAAGTTTTAAATCGGTATTTTATGGGATTTTTAAGGTTCAAAGATTTTACAATAAAATCAGGATCGGAACCCATAGGTAAGATCGTAAAATCTTAAGATTTTAAGATTAAAATCGGGATTTTGACTACATTGCATAGGTCGATCTCTGAAAGCAAAACAAAAAAACAAATGTCTACCTAATTTTACAATGAATCGCGACGGGTTTTCATATTCTAAAAATAATCTAAAACAGATTCCTTATCTAAAGTATTAAGTATGTCACTCTCAATGTACCCTACCAAGCCATCATTCAACCAACTGTCACCTATCCATTTCGAGGCTTGTTCTTGATGAAGCTCATTGCAGAAAAAGCTCTCTCCACACTTGCAGTTGCAACAAGGAAGCACAACTGCACAAGGAATTTTCCCGGGAGGCAGGTGACACGCCAAAACACAACACCAAACTGCGACCAAGTGTAATCGCAGTCCGGGAATGAAGTAACAGGCAAGTTCTATTATCAACCCGGGGTCTAGATCTACTGCCTACTCCGTGATTATCTATTATCTAGCCAACTAAGTCGAGTGAATGTTGTTTTAACTAAAAGCAGTAAAAAGCAGGAAATGGTTCTGTTTTCTCAAGCAGGGAAGAGTCACTCGGGAAATGAGTCCCCCTAGCTCCTTAGTTAGGTTTCAATTGTAATTACCCTGGGTTGATTTACTGTTGATTAAACTGCGGAAGATCCGACAGTAGCTTGGAATCTCTTAAGCTGACCAAGCCCTCTCAGTCTAACTACCCGGCAGACGACTAGTCTTCACCAGGATAGAAAGCTGAGGCTATGAACACAGAACTCCACTACTGGAATTGGATTCCAGTACAAAGCAGTAAACTGACTAACTCTCGTATAGCCAATCTCCTACTACCGAATGATGTATCTCAGGTTGCAGCAGAAATCAAGAAAAGCTGATCATACTTCAACCAATTCAATGAATCATGCATCATTCGATTAAAACCAAACAGTATAATCATCCCAAGTCATTACAATCAAATCCCTAACACATGGAACTAGGGTTCTTCATACCCAAGTGAGAGAAGGGTTCTACTCCATAGAGAGAGAGAGGAAAACAGAAATCAGAGTAGTCATACTCATAAAGATGAGGAAAATCTGCTCTGGGATGTCAATCTTCACTCCTGGGGATGCAATCTGGGCTTCAATGGTGAGAAATCCACTTCAAATAGCTCCTAGGGTTTGTTCTTCGCTCTTTCTCTCTCTAAAACTCTGTTTTTGCTCCAGAAAATCGATTCTCTCACTTGTGGCCCAAATTGGGTAAAAACCTGAAAATCCCGATCACACGGGCAGGCCACACGGCCGTGTGGCATACCCAGTTGACCGTGTGGCTTCCAAAATGCCGCGTCTCGATAAGTCGAACTTCAGGCTTCCCACACGGCCAGAGTCACAGCGCCGTGTGGAAATTCAGCCCTGCCCGTGTTTGCTCTCGTAGAATTCCACACGGCCACATTGCGCCTTCACACGGCCGTGTGGAATTTATTTGTGCTCGTGTGAAGGCTCGCACAATCCCACACGGCCACATTGGTCACTTGCACGGCCGTGTAGGGTTTGTGTGTGCCCGTGTGGCTTCCTCAGCGGCTTGCCTCGCGCCCGATCTTCGTCCAATCGCGCCCGATCTTCCCCAAGCAAACCAAGTCAGACACAAGGTAAGCTTACATTTTCAATCATACCAACATTGGGAACAAGTCATAAAGGCACAGAACACGTGAATCGTACTAGTTTTCAAACATCAACACATGAACAACTTCAATAGCAACCTGGACAACCACCACAAAGGACATTTGAGTGCAGTAAAATCGAGTAAAGGAAGAGTCTCCCTTCTGTTCACCAACCAACCTAGACTTGACTCAACCACTTACTCAAAACAGTCTCCTCATGCATCCAACTCAAGACATCAGAATAGAGACCGAGCAATCTAGGTCCTCACCGGGGTACAAGAGTATATAGAATATGAAAATGAATCACTCACTCTCGACCAGTGGGGTCAGGACAATTTGATGCGAAAAATGCGCATGCTATTTCTCTCAATCCCTAACATCTCTTCACCATGATGGCAGCCTCTAAATGCTAGAGTTCACATATGGAGTGTCACCACTAACTAATCCGGATGTCTTAGACACAGGTTCGAATGACTGGCTAGGGTCTTGGACATGGGGAAAAGGCCTTTTAGGTGGTGGAAGTATTCATAGCACAAGGTTCCACATTTCCAAACCCACACAATCACAATCAAACAAACCAGTATTTCCTTTCTGCTATTCTGCATTACTCAATATCTCAAGAGCACAAGAGCGAAGGAGGTATAAATGTCAGCATTTCCAAGCCAGACTGCTAAGAAACACTACTTACTGGGCATTATTCAGATTTTTGGTAGTGGCTCTCTTTTGCTTTCATTTTTTTCTTTGTTTTTCTTTCATTTTCTTTTCATTTCTTAAGAGAGCCACCACTTCTGCACATATTTCAAACACATGCCTAACTTTTAAGCACTACCT